CCCCGGAGCCCCGTTGCGCGGCAGGGGACTCCGCAGCAGCCGACGCTCCCGCGGCGGCCGGAGGAAGCGCCGTGGGCGAAGGCCCCTCGCGGGGGAAGCCGCCTGCTCCGCGGCGCGTTCCCCGAGGCGGACAGAGCGGCCCGCCCGCCCGGCGCCCCCCGCTGGCGCCCCCCGCGACGGCCCCGGGAGACCGCGGAGCCGCGCAGCCCGACGGCGGCGCCGGGGAGCGCGGCTTCCGTCCGGGCGGCCGGAGCATGCGTCAGCGTAGCGCGGCCCTGCCGCGCCCGCGTGGCGGCTCGTCCTGCGCCGCGCCCGGGCAGGTGCGCCCGCAGACGGTCGGAAGCCGCGGCGCTAAGGCCCAAGCGCATGAGACCCTCGACGGGTCCCTGGGGCTCCGGAGTCCGCACAGCCTGTGGGCAGAAGTCGCCCTCACGGCCCAGGCCCGTTCAGCTATAAGGCGTCCTGTGTTTAATGGAACATACTTCCAGATTTGTAACTTGCATTTTATGACTGCTTCTGACCATGGTGTGGCCTTTTGATATATTGACATTTTAATTGCAAACTTAATATTCTTAAAACATAGACAAGGTTTACTTATGCAAGCCTGAAAATAGTGCCATCAGCAAACAGTACTTGGCGGTCAATTGAAAAGTATCCCTTTGAAAAATCCCTTAGACTTATGCTGAGTTGGCAGCATTGAAACAGTAGCTCGTGTGTTGTTTTGTATTGTCTATAAACATCTAAGGAATAAGCTGATTACTCCCCTACTGTTATCTGTTTTAGGGCAATCAACTTCTCTCTGTGTCTTTCCTTTTTGCAGATCAAAACAAAAAAGTTATGCCAAATATTGCCATTTTAAGCTGTATTACTAAAAGATCTACTATTGTATGAGAGTGCTAACTTATAGATGTTCAGAGGATATGAGTAATGGATTATTCTGTTATAAGTTACAGAATGTGGGTAAGGCAATTTTAGTTCAGTGCAATTTATGTGCTTTTATTTCTGTGTATTTTTATTCTATATGGTAAAGCCTCTGGCTGATTCAACTAAAGAATTCAGGATATTTTGAGTTGTAACCCTGAAGTCAAGGTTGGATTTAGCAGGTGTGTTGAAGGGTTATTCTATTGTTTTGTTTTTTTTAATTAATCAGCCTTGAAGTTTTCCACAGGTATATTTGCTTAGGTAAATCTAGCAACGTGGCACTGCTATGATTAAAAATAAACCTGTAAAATCATGTGTAGATAAATGTTTAATTCTAATAGGATTCAGTTCCAAGAAATATTTTTATGTTTAGTGTGCAAAGACCACAGAATTGTGGATTTTGAATAAGTGATCACTCAAAACCAGCTTCTAGAGTTCCTGAACCTATTTACTCTTGGGCTTGTACAGCAGACCAAAGAAAAATATTTTCTTTAAAAACCTCAGAAAGCAGGAATTGCACTAAAAAAGATACTAGAATTGTTAGGTGAGAAAGCTGTGAACTGACTATGAAGGAAGACAGAAACACTTCAGAGAAGCTAAATTTTTGCAGTAGCTTAAGAATTTGGTGGGAGGCCCCATCTATTTGGAGGGTCTTTTGGAAAGGAAATGCCATTTCATGGAGGATATTAATGGAAATGACATGTGCAAATATTGTTTGTTTAACCAGTTTGCTTATTCCAAGACTTTGGAGGCAGTGTCCCTTCAAATAGAGAATACTAAGAGCTAGGAAAGACTATAGCTATCGTGTATTGCTTGTTAACAATGAGGGTTCATCTGTTTGCTGTTGGAAACAGGATACTGAACTAGGAATTCATTGGTTTGAGATAATCTAGGCAGGGTCCTTTGCATACTTTCTCTAAGTCCTTCCCAAGTCCTATCTCCTGTTTGCTGTTTGTTTAGATGAACATTGATCTCTTAATAAACTGCACAATGTAGAGATTTCAGTTTCTGCATCTACCAACTTAGCTTTACCTAGATTCTTTCTGAGCATGTTTAGTATTTCTTTATATGAGGTGCTATGTATTTTGACAGGTGGTGGGCAATCTGCCCTTTCCACCAATCCTGGATCAATTGACCATTTAACTGGATAATTAGCATGGGAGTGTAAGACAGAATCTCCCTTGTGAAAGACATGTCCAGTTTCAGGCTCTGAATGCATACAATTTGGTAGTCCAGAATTACTGCTTAGGGGGAAAGCTACAGTTTCCTGGTTCAAGCAGCACTGGTTCTCTTCCATTTCTATTTCCCTAGGTATAGGGTCACAGTAGTCTCATATAGATTTCTGGATTTCATTGGGTAAATGATGTTTTAGATAAGGTTGACTGATGCTAGGCCTGTGTAATAACCACTTTATAAAAACAGGTTATAGAAAAATTTGCAATAAACAAAAGAGATAAAGTCCAAGGGCAATACAATATCAATCTTTAAAACTAACTTTGTAAAACAAAAATGCCTAAGATTAAAAAATGTAATTTACTTTTTTTTTACATTACATGTAACTTACATAAGTCTTTCAAATAATATTGGTGGAGATTTTAAATAAAGTTCTGTAAGAAGCCTAAACTTCGTTATGGCTAAAGGATGTTTCAAGATAAGGCTTCATGCACTAAAATGTTCCAAAAAGAGGCAACAACCACTTTGAAGACAAAAGCTGCCAACCATAGCAAACCTCCATGCCCTCTCAACGTGCTGCTCCTCCGGCAGCTCCACTTTATCGATCTCTTACTATTTATTTATTTAGTTATTTATTTATAGTTTTTATATGCCGTCCACTACAAGCGTCTCAGGATGGTTTTACAATAAAAGCAACACAGAATAAAACAGAAGATTTTATATACTTTATATACCTGTTTATACACTAATGGAGGCAAGCAGGGTCCTAGGCAGATGCTCTTCCCTCCTCCTCATCCAGCTTCAGGAAGCCCCACCTTATACTTGCTTGAGCTCTGCTTGGGCATCAGTGGAGGCAAGCACAGTCCCAGGCAGGTGTTCTTTCTCCTCCCTCATCTTCAGCTCCTCCAGGCAATTAGCCTTGAATCAGGACTTTTTCCCATTGACCGCACCTGATTTACAATATGCTGCCTTGCTGTGTCTTTCCTGCCTCGCCTCAGTTTGTGAGGGCAGGGTATTTTTGAGGCAAATTGCATTTCTTTGCAGCCCTTACGAGAAGTAGAAGGGAGAAGGGCCTTTTCTGCAATAGCACCCCACTTGTGGAACATGTTTCCATTGGAGATTCGCCCGGTGTCTTCTCTTTTTTCTTTCAGGTGCCAATTGAAAACATTTTTTTTCACAAATAATATGGTGAGTAAGTTGTTTGGTTGTTATAGTGGTTCACTATATTGATTTCGTCTTTGTGTTTCTCTGGACTACAGTCAATGGGTAGAAATTTCAGGAAAGCAGATTCCAATTAAACATTTGGAGAATCTTTCTAACCATGTGAGCTGTCCAGCAATGGAAAAGAGCACCCCCGGAGGTGGCGGGTTCTTTTTCACTGTGGTATTTAAGCAGAGGCTGGATGGGCACCTGACATGAATGCTGTAGTTGCATCCTGCAGTACACAGGCTGCATTAAGCAGTGGGTTGGACCAGATGATCTCAGGGGTTCCTTCTAAATTTATCATACTTGGATTAGAACCCACACACCATCTGCAAAACTCAGAATCATGTACATATTTGATTGTCTCCTGAGCTAACTTGTCAGGCTTACGCCTCAAAACAGATTTGAGCAAGTGGCTCAGATTACAGTCCAAACTGATGGAGATTTCCCAGTTTACTTTCTCCTTGCCTTGCCAGTTATTTCTGAAGGTTGGGGAGAACAACTTACGGTTGAGGATTCTTTGACCAGGATTCTGCTACTTGCGGAGGGCTGGCAGTGAAGCCTTGGGCAGCCAGGGATCATGGATGATCTAAACTGAAACGTTTGGGCAACTGTTGCGGTTAAATGTCACATTTCAGTCCAGCACAAATCATACGCTTTTCTTTTTCCTGGTTTTAGTATCATTGATTCTCCATTGGTTAGAGCTGATGGGACAAGAGATATATATTATTAGCATATTCTCTTTTTTCCTGAACAGCCCTTCCCATTTCTGTAAGGGCATGACTGGGAGAAGGTGCAGAAAGGTTTGTGTGCAGTTTTTAAATTTGAATTTTGTAACATTTTCTTCTGTGTGTTTCCAGTTTCATGTCTTTTAGATTAAGCTGTTCAGTTAACGGCGTCATGAGCAGAAACAAACGTGAAAACAACTTCTACAGTGTAGAGATTGGAGATTCTACCTTCACTGTTCTCAAACGATTCCAGAACTTAAAACCTATTGGGTCAGGTGCTCAGGGCATAGTATGGTAAGGCTTTTCCTCTTTTAAGAAATCTTAGTGATGAAATTCCATTTTAAATAAATAGAGTGGGAATGTAGACAAAACTGCACCTGGCCTGTGGCACATATACTGCATGACCAGATTTGAGTGGGTGAAAGTTGAACTTCTAACTGCACCCTTTCTATTTATATAGTAGGCTAGTCCTGGGAGTTCCAGTGGAAGGTGAAAAAGTGATGTATATGTCTATAAGGGAGATGTAGTAAAAGGAATCCTAACATAACAGAAAATAAAGCAATAAAATTAACATTCTAGAATTAAAACGATTGAAATAGTAGTTTTAACCCAAAAGTTAGACGAAATGTAAAAGTTTTTGCCAGTTTCCAAGAAGTAGTAAGGATGAACTGAGAATACCTTCCAAGGGAGGCTGTGCCATATTGTTCAAGTGACTATAAAACAAATTACTTCCTGTCTTGCATCACTCAAATATGGAACTTTGGCTACTGGAAATATAGAAATGAAATAATTAAAAACTAAGGGTTTTTTTGATAATTTGACATGAATACGAGAATGTCAGAACCATGCTGAATCAGGCTACAGTTCATCTAGCTCACTCTCTGGTACTTGTGGAAAGCATAGAGCAGAACCTCTTTCACAGCTCATAAAGGAAGGGGCATCCCTCTGGACAATCTTTTCTTCATAGAAGCTACATGTGTGCTGGCTTTCTGCTATATAGCTCTTCTTCCAGATATTCCATGGTACTGGGTTGATAAAGTAAGTTTAACCTGATCCAAATGTTTGACTGCCTATGCTGCTAGCCTGTATAACTTTGGCCAGTTTTCTTGTAAATTGTAGCATGAATGTGGTTATGGCAGTTCGCTTTTATCTACAGTGCAGCCTATGATGCTACCCTTGAAAGAAATGTTGCGATCAAGAAGCTAAGTCGGCCATTTCAGAACCAAACTCATGCCAAGCGAGCCTACAGAGAACTTGTCCTCATGAAGTGTGTAAACCACAAAAATGTAAGTATATTTGTGCACCGTTTAAACAATACTGACGAGCAACTTTTGTTCACTTCTGCACCCCATGTATGTGTAGAGATGAGTGAGGGACGGGTGTTTTATAACTGCAAAAGCTTCTTTTTCCAATATCAGAAATCTATTGAGCAGTAACATGGCAGTTAGGTACCATTATGCTTATATTGCATATTTTTAAAATTAAAATTAGGTAAGCTTTCCAGGTCCACTTGAATTGAGTGGCTATATGAATGCTCACCTGGTTGCCCCATCGTGTGGCTTTGGCCCTAACGAGATCCTGCAGTGCATGTAGAATATTGGTTAATTTGGATTACTTAAAACGTACAAATATATTGAAGAAAATAGCAAATCATATTTCAGTGTAGAGGTGCTCAGCATGGATCATGCTGTATTGAGCTGATAGCTTGTTTCCTATATTTCAGCAATACAATAGCCCGTGCGGATTTTTTTTTACATTGGATTGCACAAAAGAAAAATTACTTGCATAATAGGAGAAATAATGCACCTATTAAAAAAGAAAAAGGACTTTTTACAATTGTCTGGGGCTTATTACATGTTGGCCCCAAGGACATCTTACAGTCATCTGAGGCCTGCTGGAATTTATTTGCTGCCATCAGCCCATCTTGTGTCTGATCATCCTTTTCCTCTTCTGCCTTTGACTTTCCTGAGCACAATCGTCTTCTCTAGAGAGCTTTGCCTTCTTTTGTTATTTTTGCTTCTAAGGAAAACTCTGAACTCATTTATCTAAGAGCCATTTGTCAGTCGTTCTGTCAGTCCAGGGTATTTGCTAGCTGTCCTCCAGCACCATGTTTGGAATTTTCTTCCTGGGAAATACTCTTGGGGAATATTGTTCAGCTGCATGGATTCTGCAGTGTGGGAATCTCTTCTTTCCACCCTAGTTGTTAACATCTGCATGAAGCTGATGAGTGGGGTCTTCTGAAAGTTTGCCATATGCTAGTCTTAGTATGCAGATGGCACATAGCTCTGTTTCTCCTTTTCATTGTCAGCACGTGAGGCTGTAGATGTGTCTGGCTGTGGCAATGGACCACGTTGTCAGGGTTAACAAACTGAAATGCAACCCAGGCAAAACTGAAATGCTGTTGGTGGGGGGGGGGGGTTCTTTTCCCAGACGGAAAGTATTCATCCCGTTCTAGATGGTAGTGCACTCCCCCTGAAGAAGGAGGCTTGTAATTGAGGGGTGTGCTTTGGCCCATCTTTGTCACTGAGGTGGCCTCAGTGGCTCAGAGTGCCCTCTGCCAGTTTTGGCTGGTGTCTCCTCTGTGCCCCTCTTTGGACAGGGACAGCCTGGTTTCAGTCATCTGCATGCTGGTAATGTAGATTACTGCAGTGTGCACTGCACTTTACATAGGGCTGCCTTGAAGAAGGTTCAGAAGCTGTAGCTCCTGCAGAGTGTAGCAGCCAGACTGATAATGGGGACGTAGATCAGAACACGTAAGCCCAGTTCTGCCCCACATACACCGGCTACTTGTCTGTTCCAGGCCCTGTGCAAGGGTGTGGTTTTAATCTATGAAGCCTCGGCTTGGAACTGCAGTACCTGTTGGAGCTTTCCCCAAACCATGATTTACTGGAACATTATCTCTGGGGGCTTCCTCCAAGTGCCAACTCCAAAGTAGGCCCAGAGAGAGGCAAGAAAAGGGAGGGAGGGCTGTCTCTGTGGTGGACCCCTGTCTATGGAACAGCCTCCCTACTGGCCCATCTGGCACCAAACCTGCCATTTTTTGGCATCAGGTTAAAGATGGCCTTTTAAAGAGATACTTGGCTACTCAGGAACTTAAGGGAATTACTCATCCTAGGTGTTTTTCTTTTTACAGGGCCATCCTATTGCATATTTTAGCTGCTTTAAATTTGTTTTTTTTAATAAGTTTTATTTGAAATTATAATCCTAAAAAAAAAATAAAAAGAAAACTACAAACAACATCCATCATCAGAAACATAGAGCCCGCTGAGTCAGCCCCCACACCCTTCTCTTTCTGTTTATGATAACTTAAAAACATATTTAAATCTATGCGAAGTCCTGTTTCTTTAGCCTATAATAAAAAGAGTCCCAAGTTTGATAGAAGTTGCTGCTTTAACTTTGTTTTAATGCTGTTTTGATTTTAGGATTTTATTGCATTTTTATTTTGTTTTTATACATTGTTGGAAACTGCTCAGAGAGGCCATGGGGCCATATAGAAATGAAATAAATAGTACTGATAATTAATACTAGTTAGCATCTGTTGGAGGACTTTCAGACCATCTTTCTCCACAGATCATTGGCCTATTGAATGTCTTCACGCCACAGAAATCACTGGAAGAATTTCAAGATGTGTAAGTGTGATTTTTGTAAAGCATATTTAGTTACTATGAGTGCACAGCTGATCAAAGATACTTCTGTCATCTCATCTCATTTTATTTTATGATCTTTCAGTTACATAGTGATGGAGCTCATGGATGCAAACCTTTGCCAAGTGATTCAGATGGAGCTCGACCATGAACGAATGTCTTATCTCCTCTATCAGATGTTATGCGGTATTAAACATCTCCACTCAGCTGGAATTATACATAGGGTTAGTTGTATTATTGCACCTGTTTTAAAACTCCTGTTTTGGCAGCATTTTCCTTTGAGCCAAGGAGATTGCAAGTAACCCGAAGGTGAATCTGTATCATTGCTGAACTTTGTCACAAAGAGCATGCTGAATTAAAATCAGCTGCTATGTTGCTTTTCATAGGTGGTTAGAATTTAAGTTAATGTGTGAATTCTTTCTCAGAACATTCTCAGTCTAGACCCCATAACTGATGAAAAGATCATACACGCTGCTCTGTTCACAGGAGCAACGTTATAAGCCCCACGGTTGTGCCGGGCTTGCACAGCACAACCCTCACTCACCCAGGAAGAGAGCTGCATGCCATGTGCATGTGGTGGCCACGTGCACCGAACACATTTCTGTGATTCATCACTGTGTGGTGTGAATTGTGTCAGTGTATGAGCTACAGCTGAATTGGTTGTACTGTGCCATTTAATGTCCTATCGAGGATTTTCATGCATGTTTTAAAATACATGGTTCTCCATCTGTCCCTTTCTGCTGCTTCTCAATTTTGTTTTAAGGATTTGAAACCTAGCAATATAGTAGTAAAATCGGACTGCACTTTGAAGATTCTTGACTTTGGACTGGCTCGAACAGCCGGAACCAGCTTTATGATGACACCTTATGTAGTCACTCGTTACTACAGAGCACCAGAGGTCATCCTGGGAATGGGCTACAAAGAAAACGGTCAGCCACTTTAATTTTCGTTACTTACTGTAATGTGCTTTTTATCCCCCCCCCCCCCCCGCACATCATTAAGTTTTCTTGAGCTGCTGGAACTAAGTGTTTAAAATGACACCATCCCTTAAGTGTGTAGCATGTTTAAGCCCAGTACAGTGTGTAAAGCTAGTTAGGAAACATTATCTAACATTGAGAAGGCATTGTGTATGGGGTGGGAGGTTGCTTGTGTGAGATCTTACATAAAAGATGCCTTTTGGACATTTTGTGCCAGCTGTGAAGTGGTTTTCCTGTATGTTAAGTCTGCCTTGATCTCATCTTTTAAGAGTGACTCAAATTGAACTCAGTTACATATAGAGGCTCCTTCTTGGATCACTGCCTTGCTGTGGCGAAGGGGCTGGCATAGCTCAGTGAAGCTCTGAGCCCTGCCATGCGGGGCCCCCCCAAGACGGACAGGTCACAGCGGAGAGCTCGGCAAGATGCGAGCCACTGGAGAAGGAAAAGGCCATGAAAACCCCATGGACAGTGCCAAGAGGCAAAAGGATATGACACCGGAAGATGAGCCCCTCAGGTGTCCAATGCACTACTGGGGAAGGGCGGAGGGCTAGTACTCGTAGCGCCAGAAAGAGTGAAGTGACTGGGTCAAAGTTGGAAGGACACTCGGTTGCAGATGTATCTGGTGGTGAAAGGAGAGTCCGATGCTGCAAAGATCTATACTCCATAGGAACCTGGAATGTAAGATCCATGAATCAAGGCAAGCTGGACGTGGTCAGACAAGAGATGACAAGACTGAGCATCGACATCTTAGGAATCAGTGAACTAAAATGGACAGGAATGGGTGAATTTAATTCAGATGACCATCAGGTATACTACTGCGGGCAAGAATCCCTCAGAAGAAATGGAGTAGCCTTCATAGCCTATAAAAGAGTAGGAAAAGCAGTACTGGGATACAATCTCCAAAATGACAGAATGATCTCAGTTCGAATCCAAGGCAAACCGTTCAACATCACAGTAGTCCAAGTCTATGTCCCAACCACTGGTGCTGAAGAGGCTGAAGTTGACCGGTTCTATGAAGGCCTACAACACCTTCTGGAATTAACACCAAAAAATGATGTCCTTATCATCATGGGGGATTGGAATGCTAAAGTAGGAAGCCAAAAGATAACCAGAATAACAGGCAAGTTTGGCCTTGGAGTACAAAATGAAGCAGGGCACAGGCTGGTAGAATTTTGTCAAGAGAATACGATGGTCATAGCAAACACTCTTTTCCAACAACCCAAGAGATGACTCTACACATGGACATCACCAGATGGTCAATACAGAAATCATATTGACTATGTGCTCTGTAGCCAAAGATGGAGAAGCTCTATACAGTCAGTGAAAACTAGACCAGGGGCTGACTGTGGCTCAGATCATAAGCTTCTTGTTCCAAAATTTAGGCTTAAATTGAAGAAAGTAGGGAAAAGCACTAGGCCACTCAGGTATGACCTAAATCATATCCCTGATGAATATACAGTAGAGGTGACAAATAGATTTAAGGAATTAGATCTGATAGACAGAGTGCCTGAAGAACTATGGACGGAGGTTCGCAACATTATACAAGAGGTAGCAACTAAAACCATCCCAAAGAAAAAAGAAATGCAAGAAAGCAAAATGGCTGACTGAGGAAGCTTTACAAATAGCTGAGGAAAGAAGGGAAGCGAAAGGCAAGGGAGAAAGAGAAAGATACACCCAACTGAATGCAGAATTCCAGAGAATAGCTAGAAGAGATAAGAATGCCTTCTTAAATGAACATTGCAAAGAAATAAAAGAAAACAATAGACTAGAGAGGACCAGAGATCTCTTCAAGAAAATTGAAGATATGAAGGGAATGTTTCATGCAAAGATGGGCATGATAAAGGACCAAAATGGTAGGGACCTAACAGAGGCAGAAGAGATTAAGAAGAGGTGGCAAGATTACACAGAAGAACTATACAAAAAAGAGCTTAACGTCCCTGATAACCACAATGGGGTAGTCACTGACCTCGAGCCAGACATCCTGGAATGTGAAGTCAACTGGGCCTTAGGAAGTCTGAGCAACCCATCTCTTTAAAAACTTGCCACAATTTGTTGTGATCCACACAATCAAAGGCTTTAGCATAGTCAATGAAGCAGAAGTAGATGTTTTTCTGGATTTCCCTAGCTTTCTCCATGATCCAGCATGTTGGCAATTTGATCTCTAGTTCCTCTCCCTCTTCGAAATCCTGCCTGTACTTCTGGTAGTTCTCGGTCCACACACTGCTGGAGCTGAGCTTGTAGGATTCTGAGCATCACTTTGCTAGCATGTGAAGTGAGTGCATTGGTGCGGTAGTTTGAACATTCTTTGGCATTGCCCTTCTTTGGGATTGGAACGTAAACTGACCTTTTCCAATCCTGTGGCCACTGTTGCGTTTTCCAAGTTTCTTTGGAGCATTGTGTGGAGGATTGTGGGCAGAAATGACAAGAATGCATGTGTGTGTCAAAGATACTGCATCAGCTCCACTTTAAAATTGGAATTGGCCCTTCTCTGTAGGTGGCTTTTCCTTATACAGGCCCTTGCATGAATCTCTCAGGCTATCATAAGCTCACGTAATCGGCCCTATTAAATGCAGTGGATCTTAGTTCGGAGTGTACATACATAGGTTTTCCATCATAGTCTGTTCTTTAAAGAAAAGACAGCATAGAGGGCATCAGTGTACAATGTATCTCATATGAAAAAGTTCAGTCATAACTCAGCAATGACGCAAGAAGAAACAAAAGTATACCTGGGGATTGTGCATGTGTGTTTTCATTTTTTTAAAGAATTCATTAATGGACAATGGAAGGCAGTGAAGCATAGCGAGGTGTTTAAAAGAAGTCAGGTTTGATCGTTCTTATATAGATACTCTATGTGGCACTTGCCTGAGTGAAGAAAAATATTACCTTGTATGATTTGATTCAGGGTCACTTAATTTAGAATAAGATTAATGAAGTCATTCTTTGATTATTATATAAAGGAGCTGTTTGTACTTGTTCCTTTACATCTCGCTTCACCAGTTTGCTGTCTAAGAAGTAGGTGTTTTTGTGACTGGCCACACCCATTATAGTAGCCATATTGGGCAAGCTATCGTAGCCCCTCCATGAGAGTGCCCACAAGTGTCAAAATGTCAGGAGTGCAGTGGCCCATCAAGCCTGGGAACCCTTGCTGCACAGTATCTGCAGACTGAAAGCTCCAGCAGTATTCGCAGCCCTCATGTTCATACGGAAACGTCCACTTTGAAGCTGTGGGAGGATTACATTTTTTAATGTTCTTGCATGTTAAAAACCAGAACTTCCCTACCGGTAGAAAGCAAGCAGAAAATGGTCTAAGCAAGAACCTTTCTCTGTGATAAGCTAGAATTTTTCCCCCTTGCAGGAAGTTTTTGACTTAAAGGAACATTCAGCTATGGCTTCTCTGCTGAGGCCTGAAGTGTACAGTCCATTCTGTGCCTCTTTCTGCTATCTGCACAGATCAAAGCTCTGCTTTCTGACAAATGGAAAATAACCTGGCATCTGCTCTGCACCCTTTCAAGCTGTGTCCCCAGCAGTGCCATTGAAAGCTTTGCAAATAATGTGCATTTATATTTTAGCAAAATCATTGCCTATATCCTAGAAAATATTACTAGGAAAAGTAGTACAGTGATCTTAATAAAACATTCATGCCTAGTCTTATTAAAGTTAACAAGAGTTATTGAAGAAATGCAAAATTTTCTAACACGGGAAATCAGATTTTCTTTTTAATGCTTTTTGGGTTCCATAGACAAAATAAATGGCTGGTGAAAGATTGAATTATTTCATGAACAGAAATCAGGAACAGACAAATGGAACTCTCATTTTTTCCTGTTCATTTGGAGGGAGAGTGCTATTCACAGGGAATGTATCGCAATAGAATGTTAATGTACAATTCAATCATATATAACCAGCTGTCTAAGGGTGTTCAACCACCATTGATTTTAGAGATAAATGAGGATTAAATTTAGGGGTATAAATTTAGGGAGCTTGCCTTGGACTGAGTATTCCTAGGCATACCTAGTCCTGTATCGCTAGTGCGACTGGCAGCATTTCCCTGGGTTTCAGGCAGGACTTTTCCCTTCCTGCCTGGAGACGCTGAGGAGTGGACTTGGGGCTGTATGGATGCAGGGCATGTGCTCTAGCACTGAGCCAGGCTTTTGCTGGCATTTAATTGTACTTTAAGCCAATTATTTATTAGACTAATAATTTTTATTATCTAGTCCTCATGGGTTTCTCAATACAGTCTATTTGTTAAAGATTCACATATCACCATTTCAGAAAGCAAAACCAAGATGCAATTCAAAAATTGAAATAAAACATAATAAATGACAGCATATGAAAATAAAGCATATTTACTTGATAGCAAAGGAAGAAGAAACAGAGAAACAGAGCGAGTCAGAAGGGGTCTCCCAGGCCATCTAGTCTGACCCCCGGCTCCAGCTGGCTCTGCTCACGACATGCCCACCATGTGCATGTCCAGAAAGTGGGTACCAGGCACGCTTCTTAAGGAAGGCGTTCTAAAACCAGTGAGGTGCTCTCTTATAGTTGCTGTGCACTTATGTCTTGTCTTGGATGGCGGAGGGCACATGGAGGAGAGCTTCCAAAACTTAGATGTGCAATACACACATAGGCTGGCATGAAAGTAGACATTCCATCAGGTATTTGGGTCCCAAGAAGTATAGGGAGAGGCAAGCACTCACTCAGAAACAGACCAGAAGCCAATACTGTTTTTTCCTTATTGGTGAGATATGGTGAGACTGCAAACACCTGATGGCCATGTTTTGATTTTACTGTCATTTCCAAACAGCCTTCATAGACAAACCTGTATACAATGTATTACAGTTGTCAATTCTAGTTGTTAGCAGAATATGGATAATTGTGGTCATGCCATCTTTGTCCAGGAGAGGTACAGTTTAATCAGATAAAAGGCAGTCTTTGCCACAGAGTCTGCTTGGCCTAGTGACACGGCTAAGTGTAGGATTGTTAATGGCCTGCAGACCTGATCCTTTAGCAAAACTGCACCTCTCTTAGCAGATGAATCATCTGCCCCTACCTGTGTCTCGCTGGGACTAAGTTGCAATTTATTGATCCTCTTCCATATCATTATTGATTCTCAGTACCAATTTAAGAGGCTGCCGGTGGATTTCCTAACATTCCAGTCCTTAAATTCCTTGTTGAGGAATTCAATGACTGCTCATAACTTCTTTATTAGCCTGATAATAAAAAAATAACCTTCAAAGCATTAAGGTCTATCAGGGACATCCCCTGTGTGAGCTGCATGGAACGTAGAACATCTTGTGGGAACATCGTATGTTACCAAAAAGACCTTTTATGGCAGATGGAGCCAAGTATGTGTTCTAGAAATACATTTACACTTGATCCCATGGTTGCTTTCTTCCTTTCCTTGGTCCTTTATCGGCAGTTAATGAAATGTAGTCGTATTCTATCCTGCCACTTCTTTAATTTTCAGTGACAGTTTGCTTTGCTTCTTCTTTTTGTGCTACAAACATAGTGGATTTATGGTCTGTTGGGTGCATTATGGGAGAAATGGTTTGCCACAAAATCCTCTTTCCAGGAAGGGACTGTATCCTTGTGCTGCTGCAGCTGCTGAATTTTTTGGTAACTAATCTTTCATGGTGGCTCTCCCCTCCCCTCAAATAATCTTTCTTGGAAAATGCATTTTTCTCCCTAAAGGGCTAATACTTAATTTCTTCTGATATGTATAACAAAATTGTTAGCATAAGAAATTTAGTTCTTCTGAGGCTGCACCGAGCAGTAGGAAATAGTCTCTGCTGGTATAATAGTGAGCACATCTTCACCTTTTCCTTTGTTTTCATCCTGCAGTGCTCTTTATTATCACCGGGTGTAGTTTTTTTCCCCTCCTTAAAGCTTTTTTTTTTAATTTCCTTTCAGTCAGTTAATGTCATTGCATTTTATTTTCAGTTGACATTTGGTCAGTGGGGTGCATCATGGGAGAAATGATCAAAGGTGGTGTATTATTTCCTGGTACAGACCGTATCCTTACTGTGGGCCTAGAACTGAACTCTAAAAAGTTAAAATATATTCTAGCATTTTCCTTTCCAACATCATATAATGCTATCTCCAGCTAATGAGGCTTTAAAATTGCATTGTTTGAAAAGTTGTTTTTTCCTCTTAAGAGCTTCAGTGGTTTGTATAGGCATATTTACTTTGTAAGAAAGTAGTAAATATTTACAATATTTAAAAAGTTTGTGTTTGATTAACAGTTCAACTAGTCAGGAACATCCTAGATAATTGTATCTGTGTCTAACTTGGCTTGAACAGGAGTATTGCTGGTGGATGTCACAGGTAAAGCATAGTGTGAGATCCACTGGATAGTTAAACCCTATTCAGGTATTACAGATTCTCTGCAAGTAAACATCAGGAGTGAAAGCATGTTAGCCCCACGACCTTAGTCATCATTTTTTAATGTTCTACATATGGAAGATTTTATGAAGAGGAGAGCCTCCCCTTTCCATGAAAGCTTTCCCACACAATATGGAATATTCCAGATCTCATGGAAAACGGCCTCAGGAAAATAGGTCCTCCTATTCACAGAGCCACCTGCCATGAGTAGAAAACAACTTTGGAACAGGGTGGCACCAGGGCCTGTTCACAGTGCCTGAAGGTTATCTTGGGATTGCATTTTGCTTTTGCCTTTGCCTTTTCTTTGTACCCAAATATATTGCTTTAATGATTTATGATTGCTTTAGGCTTCTGTTTTAATAGAACAGTTACCTCCAGTTTTATGTGAATGCCTTTGCTCAAAATAGTATATTTAGTGTTTCTGTTTTCTTCTCTGTCACTTTTGAGTGTACTGATTAGAAGTTATTTTACAACTGCAACTCATTTATTGAATATTATAATTATGCTTACCTCTGAATGTCACTATTGCAGGGCAAGTGTTCCCTGATTACTGCGGAGGTAAATACCAGTTGACAGCATCAAATGCATTGCATCAGCTTGTAAGCTAAAGCAATACTTGGCCTGCACATGTATTTACCTTGCATATGGATAGGCTGAATAGTTCTGATGTAGCATCTTGCATGTTCAGTCAGGGGTTTTTTGGTAACACTTTATCCTGTAATTCTCAGAGTAAGGAAGATTTCAAAATAGTTTTTCTGGTGAAAGTTTGAAAGTGTTACTCTCCTATGAGTACCTCTTGGTTCAGGGGTGCGTGTGTGCACACACACGCATGGGGAGGGGAGTGGTTAATCCATATTATTAGGTAAAGTAATATGTTGCGTTAGATGGGTTCTTTGTGGCTCTGAAAGGATTAGTAGGCAAGCCTGACATCTGGTTATGAGTTTTAAGTTGGTATTCCCTGTTCTTAGATTCTGCTGGCTTGGCAGGCTGCATCACCAACCGGAGGGCTGGGGAACTCCTCCTGCAGCAGGAGTCCTGAGAGCTGAATCAGTCTGCCTGACACTGCCTGCAAGACTTAAAGAACAGTGCTCATAAAGCTAAATTGAAAAATTTGGAGGGTATTTTAGAATGTTGTTTTTTTATTTTTACTATGATTCGTAGCAGTCAGAAGTAATGAAGATGTCTGTACATGCACCTAAAAAGCAGATCAAATCAGAGTATCATAGCCATTGATGCGAGTAAGGTGCTAATAGTTAGCTAGGTCTCTGTGCAAGCCTGCACTGACCATACCCGTACACATCTTTTTAATGCTCCAAGCCTGTGAAGACTTTCCAAGGGAAAAGCCGCTCACTATGTAACAGATACGTACATTTTTTTATTTATTAAAACATTTTTATGCCGCCCCATTCGCCGAAGCCTCCGGGCGGCTTACAACAATAAATTAAATAATAATAATCATAAATTAAAAATATAAACATTAGAATAAAATACAAACATACAATATAAAATAAGTCGCCCTGGCCATACGGACACATTTATGATTGGAACTAGGTAACAGTAAACTTTACTGACCTCTGTAGTTAAAATGGACTTAAAATTTGTTGAAGTGGCATGGGCAGTTTAGTGAAGGCAGAAAGTCCGTTTTGCTCACCAATGTTTCCCTGTTATTTTGACTGGATGAGAATGAGAACATGAGGATTATTTTTAAAGTGACAATTTTTCTATTTTAAAACAGATTTTATTTCCTCAATCATAATTGTTTATCCTTATGTTCTCTTGCTTTTAGTGTCCAGTTGTCATTAGATTGGAAAGAAAAGAGTCAGGATCATTAGTTCCCAGGAAACACAGTGCGTGGCCAGTGTCAGGGCTCTTCAGTCCTCTCCAGCTTCCTTTGCTTGTCTCCAGAGAGCAGTCAGAATCCCCAGCAGGCAGAGGATTGCTTACGCATGGCTCTGTTTCATGTGCTCAGTGTGGCTGGTATATTGAAGTATACATTTCAGATTCTACAGTGCATCCTGCAGGCCAGTCCAGTGAGTGCAGACTGGTGCCTAGTGTGTGGCCAATTTCCTCATTTAGATGGATAGTTGTAATATTTGCAGGGAACTCTTCTGTGTATAAACAATTTGTGTGCCCTTTTTTTCTCTTCCACCATTCTAAGCGACTGATAAGAGACCTGTGTTTGGAAGCCTATTTCTAAAACAATTAGAATGTGTTAATGCAAAATGTCTTTCCTATTTTCAATGGAAAAAAGGCTGAGCACTCTATATAGATCCTTTATTGATTCCTAGCCTAATATATGTGCTAGGGATGCAATGAAGAACATAGCACAGGGGTCCTCAAACTTTTTCAACAGGGGGCCAGTTGAAAGGTGCCGGTGCCGGTGCCGGGCGCGGGCTGGAAAGGCGGTGCCGGCGGTGCGTGTGGGCCGGTGAGGGGGCAGGGTGCCTGCGCTGAGGCGAGGGCAGGGTGCTCAGGCATGGCGAGGCAGGGGTGGGTGCACGGGTGAGGCGGGGGCTGGCCCGCACAGCAAGGCAGCGGTGGGTGCGTGAGGCAGCGGCTTGCTCGCTAGGAGATTATTTTCTCCGAGCGAGTCCAAGACGATCTCCATGCAAGCAAGCCGCTGCCTCCCCACACATGGAGTGAGGCGGGTGGCGGCGGGCACGGGCTCAGAGAGTCCAAAACCTCTGAGGCGGGCCAGATAAATGGGCATGGCGGGCTGGATCTGGCCCGCAGGCCATAGTTGGAGGACCCATGGCATAGTATATAGCGGCTTTTGATTTCGAAGTATCCTTAAATCAAAATTATTTTGCCTGACTTTCTCTGGTCCCCTGGTGGTGGCATAAGCAAAAGTACCTTAATATTTTTATGGCTGTAGAGAAATATTTGCTCATGTACAGAGGCTTGTGCAAAGAAAGATAGATGGTTAGTCTCCTGTTCTGTGCATCACTGAAAGCCTGTACAGGCACAGAAGTCTCAGAAATTGAAGGCTTTCACAAGTCCAGCATCCTCCTAGGCTGAAGCCAGCAGGGCAGAAGGAGCAGTGGTGGTGGTCTTGGCCTCCCCATCCTGTGTTCAAGGGGTTTTTGTCTCCCAGACAGGCAATGAATTCCATCTAGTGATGGTATTTTGAACAAATAGAGAAGAAGACTGGGAGATGCTCCAGGCAGCTCATATCCTAGTCTCCCCATTCTCCTCCCCTCCCCACCCACTGGAGTGCCCACTTTTCTCCCTGCCCATGGTCAGTCTTCTGACCTAAGAGGCTAGGCACGAAGGCTGTTCCCTGGATGAGGGGCAAGCCCTTTCCCATGCAAGAGTGCTACCTCTGACCTCAGAAGGGGGGCGGGCATCTGTGATATCTTAGGGGCCATTGGATTGCTCTTCAGATTGAAGTGCCTGAAATGTTCACTGGCTGTTCTTCCAGATGTCTTCTGTGCACCAGATGTGATTTTCCCCAGCCCTGATGTGATTAACAACTGCCATAGTTAAGGAGAGCAACTGCTAGGCTCTGTAGTTGTTCATTTTTGCTCTTCTGATGTTGGCCAGCCACAAGTGTCCTGTTCACTGGTATGTTTTTAACATAGCCCTTTTCCTGAACATGAGATATGCAATTTTTCTTAGCTCCTTGATCTCAGATATTGATCAATGGAATAAGGTTATTGAGCAACTGGGAACACCTTGCCCCGAATTCATGAAAAAGCTGCAACCAACAGTAAGAACGTATGTGGAGAACAGGCCTAAATATGCCGGCTACAGTTTTGAGAAGCTCTTCCCAGATGTCCTCTTTCCTGTTGACTCTGAGCACAACAAACTGAAGGGTAAGATTTCATTGGTTTTTTTCCTGATAAATTTAGAAACTTTTCCCTAGCAATGTGGGAGACAAAACACTTGTGTGAACTTTTATGGGTGAAGTTTTATTCTTTTATTCTGCCTGACCTTCTCCCCCTGTGCACGCTATGGCAAGAGTAGCTATCCACATCAATATTGAGCCAGTAATTAACAAGAAATTATTTACTTTCTTTATTGGTTTGGTTGTATCCCCAAATCTATGTAATCAGTTCACTTTTATTTTGTGTCTTGCTTGCTCCTTGCTTTCCTACTGCCCCAAATTAAATCCTGTACAAAATGTTCTTGCAGCCAGTCAGGCAAGAGACTTGTTATCCAAAATGCTGGTGATCGATGCAGCAAAAAGAATCTCAGTGGATGAAGCTTTGCAGCACCCATACATCAATGTTTGGTATGACCCTTCAGAAGCAGAAGCAGTAAGCGCTTTATTTTGGATTCTGTGATAGTAGGACAGCAGAGTGTGATGCCTTGTGCCAGAGAGGGCAGCACATTAAGGGTTTCCCTTTGGCCAACTTACTCTGCACTCTTTGACAACAGTTCGGGAAGTTTTGTGGTAAACTTAATATTTTCTTGAAAACTCATCTTTTCCAAAAGCTGAGCCAAAAGTGAGAATTGGGAAGGACAACAGCAGACTTCACCAGAATCAGAATAGTTGACCTTTCTTTAATGGGAGTATTGCAAAAAGGCTCAAGCATTTTGATTCTTGGAATGAACCTTTGCACTTTATTTCTTCTTAGTGATGTCTTCACATTATTAAATTAGGTAGTGCTGTGCTATCATGCCAGGTGACAAAGGCCACTTGAGAATGAAAGAAAGGGGAGGGAAATTGCTGGAGTGGGAAATACTTTGTAGGCATGGAACACCCAGAACATATCTGGCCCAGCACAATTTTTTCCCTACCCTTTTCCTCCTGTTGAAGAGTATTGTGCATTTGTTACATGTGTAGCACTCCGTTTTCTTCAGGAGCCTGAGATGGTGTGCATGATCTGCCCTCCTCTCCATTTTATCCTTAGCAGCAGGTCTGTGAAGTAGGTCAGGCTGAGTATCAGCCACTGGTCCAGTGTTACCCGGGCAGATACTTGCACCAGCGTCTTTCTAATGGATCAGAGTGGGGCTTAGAATCAGGGTCACTGCAGTCCCATCACCTGCCTCCCAAAATATCTGCAAGGTGCTGTGTTTTCGGATTTATGCTTGAAGTTGAATTATTATAGCTTTCAGACAATTTTTAGAAATAACCTTTATTTTTATTGTCATGTTTACTCTGTCCGCTCTTGAATGTTTTAATCCTAAAAATGTGAACACTTTTAAAGCTGGTATCAGGCCTCTGTGCCTTTTGAATGATGATGCTTGCTTCTTGTATCAAAATACATCCTGGAGCAGAGTGGCACTTGTTTTCAAGACATGTGTGTTGTGGTCCCTTAATTCCTCTGACAGGTTTTCTGTCGCACACATTGATAGGTTTGATGCCTGTGCCGAGCAGTCTTTCAGAACCTTCTCACTTTAGCTGCTAGTTCCAGGCTCCTTCCTTTGGGCAGCTCCGGGTGTAGCTCCTGCCTCCCAGTCATTTCCTTTTCATCCACCACCGCAGTGGCAGAATGAGAACCTCATCCATACTAATGGCTTCCCCCCATGACTACAGTTCTCCCCTCCCCTTCCCCTACCCCAGCCCTGACCCTCATCTGGCATTGCATCTGTCCTTCCTTAAGGAGCAGTCTGTCGGCACAAACCGGTGCCAAACTCTTGATATCAACAGTAAAGGTCAGTTGGGTTAAGGCAACAACATTTTGTACTAAATGTCCTACAACTATGCCAGGGTCAGGACCAAAACATTACAAGACCCATAGGATCAACTTCTATGACAAACCTATAGTTTGAGTTTGGTGTTTGGGTAGTTCGAGACTGATATTGGAAGGCAGTACCAAGATAGTTCCCCATTGGGTTCCACTTGTTGGCGTTGCTCCTAAAGCACATGCACCTTCAGTTTTGCCTCAAAAGCACTATTCCCATAAGAGTTGATCCCTCCATTCTCCCTTGTGGTCTCTGCCTCCCACGTGGGCTGTGCATCTGCTCCGAGTCAGGAAGCTGCTGCAGCGAGCATCCAGTTGGGTGGCAGTCCCTCCCTTCCCTGATTCATGGGAGCACGAGGGAGACTCCTTGTCCATCTCATCAGTTCCTCTTTGGACACCATTGTGCCTAGATTGGGAAATGCTTCTCTCCTCACTTGCATATCGAGCCTTCCATTGTTTTCTTATCCTTTCTTCTCTCCAGCCTCCTCCTCATGTTCTTTCCTCCTTCATGAATCCACTCTCTCATCTGACACCCCCCCCCAAAAACAACTTTTCTACCCTCTTTCTATCTCCGCTCTTGAAGTTCCCCACAGAGTTGTCCTTGCCTTGTTCTTGCCCACCTTCCCCATCTACTGCAATGGCATCTTTGGTGGCATTTAGGAACTGTTCCCGCTGCAACAGCGGCTCCCCGCGCCCCATGGCTGGGCTCTTTGCCTCCTCTGCCTGTTTGAGGGGCATGTTGTGGAGGCCTGTTTGCCCTGTCAGGCCTTCAAAAACAGACCCAGAGATGCTGGGCTGACTGCCTGAAGGCCAAGCTATGAAAGAAGGCCCTTCAGGTTGCTGACACCACTTTGGTGGTCAGGGAGCCCCCCCCCCCCCCCGTTGACTTGCACTCACCCTGACAGGGTGATTTGTCTGGCAGCTGTATGGCCAGGAAAGTAGCAAATGCCACCAAAAAATGGCTGTCACTGTTGCCCCCAAAGAAAAAGGTGGTGCCACAAGAGCCCCCATCAGCCTTCAGTTCTGAGGATCTGCTTGGCCTTGCCCTCTGTCCAGTCACAATCGCTGGCTCCAAGAGAGGACCTGGCTCATGTCACTGCTGGAAGGGGAATTGAGAGGAGCTCCACCAGATCCCTGACCCATGTGCTGCCCCCGGCATCGGTTCCAAGGCGACTGACACCACCTGGGGAGCTCCCTGCTGAGACTTGACACCACCCCCCTCAGAGAATGAATGGCTCGAGGCTGAGACCATCCATCCACTGTTCACTGTCATTCACATAGCAGTTGACCCCTGGGGGATGCTGAGACGGAGCCCTGTCTCCTCTCGCTGGGTGGGGCTGGGCCTCTGACTGGTCGCCGCCGTCACATTGCTCCCGAGAGGCTTCCAGAGCATTGCATGGCAATGGCCTGTGCACGCCTCCGCCTCCAGGGAGACCAGTCTTTCCATGCTGCAGTGCCTGGCTCCTGGTTGTGCCACCCAAGGCAGATGTGCAGCATCCTGTGCACACCGCCTGCTCTCTGCTGCAGACCCTGGGACTATGCGTGAAGCATGAGAAGTGTGTTCTCTCCCCCTCCCAATCCATTCTCTTCATGGGGCCCACCTCAACCCCCGCTTGGCAAAGGCTCTCCTCCTGGCATCCATAGCAGCTGCACTCACTACCCAAGACGTTCCCCAGTCTCAGCACATGAGTAACATCATGGCCCACTGGATACAAAAGCTTGTCATAGAATAGTAGCGTTGGAAGGGGCCAGAGGGCCATTGAGTCAGTGCAGGACACCAGTTAAACCATCCCACTCTGATAGCTGCCCACCTGTGTCGTGAGGCCGGAGCACTCTTGCTCATTCCTCACCCAGGAACAGGCAATAAGGGTTTAAAGCCTTTTATTCTAAACAACTTCAAAAACATGCAGGCAATGAATAGTACAGGAGCTGTTAATGGCAGTTCTAAGCAAAGCAGCTGCCCCCTCCTTTCTGACCTATCTCAGATTTATGACGCACTCTTCACCCGAAGACACCCCTCCCCAGGGCGGCCAGATAAACTCCTCTCCCTCCTTCTTTGTCTCTCTTCTAATTGGCTCAAGGGCCGAAGTCTTCTCCTCAGCTGGGCATTCTCCATGGCAACGGGCTGTCCCACTGGTTGCCCAGCAGCGTTATCTTTTTGAGGAATGCAGCTCTGCTCAGGCTGGAGAAGAACTTCATCAGAGTCAGGTGGCGAGGGCTGGGGGGGGTTGTGCCATGGGCACCAAGTAGAAATCTTTTTGCCTAAAGCCTGACTCTCGCTGGGAGCTTCTTGCCCTCTTATGCGTGCTAACGACTCCTCTGAGTCGTTAGGCATGACAACCTGCTACTGTGGGCAGAACTCTCCAACTGGATGACCAGTGCTAAAATGGTTGAACGCCTGCATAATATGCAAGAAGAAGACTGTTCTTTCCTCTTCAGACATCAGACTCTTCAAACAGTAAGAGTCTGGGGCTGGGACTTGGGCAATCTGGGCTCCAGTTCCTGCATAGCCATGGAGACGACTGGGTGACTTTGGGCCATTCATGGACTCTCAGCTCAACCTGTTTCACAGGATTGTTGTGGAGATAAGATTGAACAAGAAGAGGAGAATGATACCAGCTGCTTAAGAAGAAAGGTGGCATATGAATCTAATGAACAAACAAACAAACAAACCGGGGTTGCCAGGACTCCAGTCAGTGCCTCTTGGAATCATTCTCTACCAAGATGGCTAAGCCATCATCCAGACCTCCTTGGAGCCTCAGAAAGCCTTCCAGAATAAATGCTGGAAGTGGAAGTCCAAGTGGAAAACCCCTGACCAGCTCAGAGGTTTTGACTCACACGGATGAGCTTCTGGCACTCCTTCCTTTTTCAGCCATCCCAAATTCCTGCAAACATGTCATCCGATTAGCAGTGACATTTGCTTCTGGTTTGACCTGTTCACAATGCAGGTCACTCCCACACTAGTCCCCCTTGCCAGGAAGATGAATGTGAGGTGCGGAACATCCTGCAGCAGGTTGCCTGCAGTCCTGGTTCCCTCTCTGTCTCTCTCACATGGGGATGAGGGGCATTCTGAGCTGTGCCATTCTTCCCCTTCTGCTCCTCACATGAGTCATCGGCAGGAAATGGAATGGCAGTGCCTTCCTGCTTCCTCATCCAGGCGACATCTGTGACTTGTCTTCTTTCCAGCTACACCTTCCTCTGCCTTCATGGCTCCTGGAACTCCTTTATCATGGACTAAAGAAAGCTCAGACACCCAGATCTCAAATTTTTTCACCACATGGCATGGAAAATGCAGGCTAACATGAGTTCTTTTGAGCAAGTCTTGGAGGGATAAGGTTGTTCCATGACAAGATTTTCCTCTCCTCCTGAAGGTGGTGTTATGGGTCCATTTTATTTATTTTTGTCTGAAGAAGTATTGTTACTAACATTTCTTGTTAAAACTGCCTCCCCATTGGAAGTAAAACTTCATATTCAACACTGGTTTTCTGCAACACAGGGCTCAGTTCCTCATCTGTGTGCTCTTTTGGCCCAAGGATATAGCACCGTGTATCTCTTCAGTATTTTTACAGGTAGGCCATATCTACTGTACTACTCACCTGCCAACTCACTCACCTGAGCGTGTTTGCAGC